ATCATCCAGTAATTTTCTAATGCAGACGCTATGTTGCTCGGTGGCAACTTGCCATGCAAGTTTTACTCTTCTTGGTGCAATTGGTATAAGAACTATTTCCGGTGTAACAGGATTTTCCGTAGTTCCTGTTATTTAATTTATATACATATATAGTTAAAAAATATTGCAAGTAAAAAATGTGTTACAATAAAAAAATATTTTTGGATAGAGTAGAAAAATATAATATTTTATTCTTAAGATATTTAAGATAAATAATACTTCATCTAAATTTAAGAATTTAGATAAATAAATTTTTAATCATTTTAATTTACCTGTTATGATTTCGGAATAATAACCTCTTCTTTTTATTGTTTGTTTCTCCATATTTATAACTTTCGATATAATCTATTTTACTTTTAAAAATAAAATTGTATTTTTACAATTTATGTACACATTAACTTTCTAAGTATTAAAATAATAAAATATTTATTCTTCGATTAGCATTAAAAATAATAAAATACGTAATATATGACATTTTTAATATTCATTATGAATGTGAACTTGTCTGTTGCATTATTTATCGATATTTTTATTATAATTGTTTTCAAGAAACAAATCGTGGTAGTTTTTTATCCAAAAAGTCACTGTTGATGTTTTGACTCTATTTGCACTATATCAATATCAAATATAAATGTAACATACGATAATTCTTCATATTATTAAAATTTTAAAATTATCTTATTATATGTTATATGCGATTATATGTTATCGATTCAGTGAAAATGATTATCGAATTGTCGAGTCACATTTCTTTCTTTCGATTTGATAACCGAAATCTAAATGCAGTCATTTTGGTTAATTACTATGTAAATATGTCATTCTTGATTTTTCTGTGTTTTGTCTGTTGCGTAAATTTACATTTATAATTATTCTTTATCATCTGTATATTATGCAATTAATATATATTTTTTTATTTTAATTATTTGGTTGTTAAATTCTTTTTTCTTTATTAATTTTCTTCAATTTAAAACTTCAATTTAAAACTTCAAACTTCAATTTAAAATAAGATGCAGTTCTAACCAATCAAAAAATTGCTAAAATCCAAGCAAGATAAATCAGTGCGCATTATAGTGCACATAACCTCAGTAGAATTGAAAATCATCATTATGTGTTTCTCCGGCTGAAATTCGTAATTATATAAAATTTTTATTTATAAACTATTGTATTATATTTATTGAGTTTAGTTAATAAATTATTAAGCTTTTTTAAATATTATATGTATTCATTAATATAATTATTATATTAAAATTGAACGTCCTTATGCAGTTTGATTGTAGCTTTAAAAGTAGGATGGTTTTGAAAGTTTTTACGCATCATAATAATTAAAAGATATCCGATAATTTTTATGCAAATATAGTAAAACTTTATTTATTTTAATGAAATGTAATTCTTATAAATTTCCTTTGTCTCTTTTTATGTATACAGAGATGGAAAGCTAGATTGGTTAATATGTATTTCTTTCCTCAATGCATCATCCGTTCAATTATGTATTATTATTTTTATTTGTTTTGATTTAAGTTCGAAGCTCCAACGTTGAAAATATTTTTTATAAGTCAGTCTTTCTAGAAAATGATGGTTCATGTCACGTTTGATATGTTTCGGCTTGTCAAAAATTGACAATATTCTTTGTGATTCAATACATCGATTACTATGTGAGAAATCATTCTCTGTCGAGACTTAATCCGATTAAATATTTTGTTTCATATGACTAATTTATTTCATGATATTTACTTAATATTTTATTATATTTTATTCTTTTATTTTTTATTAATATTTTATTGGTATGTGTTCAATTATTTATTAATAATATTTTGAGGAATAATTTTTTTTTATTCATCTATTTAAATTCATCATTTATTTAAATTATTCATCTAATAATTATTAGAATTATCAATTTTTATTGTGAATTTTTAAAATAGAATTGATTTAAATTATTATTTTATAATATAATTAATTTAATCTTATACATTTTATGTATTTAAATATTTGATTTTTTATTTTGCAGATAATAGATAGTTAATAATAGATAAGTAGCAGAGTATTGAAACTATTCTAGGGAGAAAAAAGGATTTTTAATAATATGGATTTTGATAATAATTTATAAATTTGAAATAAAATAAAAAAAGAAAATTGACAGCAAAAATTGAATCAAAATTGAAAAATTATGAAATTGTAAAAAATTATTAGGCAAGTTAGATTTATAATTAAATAGAATATTTTTAACTACTATTAAATTTAAGAATTAGTAAACTTTTTTAAATAACTTTCTAAATGAGAATTTTAAAAACTTATATAATAATAATAAAATTGAATTTAGAAAAAAATTGAAATATTCAGTAATTCTGCAATTTAGTAACTTTTTCAAATTTAATCTTTTAATTTTGATTCTTTTTTCATTTTATAATTATAATTTAATAAAATTATAATATATTACAATATTTTATAATTTAATAAAAAAAGAAATCAATCGAGAGAATTTTAAAAAATATTTTGTTACAAATACGAAAATTCTATATAATCATATCTATTATGTTTTTCATATTCATAAAATAATACGATCGAGGAAATTAGTTATTACATATTAAATGAGATTAATCATAAGAATGTAAATCTAATAATAATGAATAAAATACATTTTTGAGATATTCTATCGTTTATTATCGTTTATTTTTGAGTCAATATTTTTTTCTTTTTCATATTTAAAAAAATATGTCTTCATTAAAAATAATTACTAGATAGTAATATTTATATATTAAAAAATAGCATATAAATAGAATATACAATATAATATGCAAAAAAAAAAAAAA